AATGAAGCAGGGCAAAGGTTAACAGAGTTTTGTCAAGAAAACACACTGGTCATAGCGAACACCCTTTTCCAACAACCGAAGAGGCGACTCTACACATGGACATCACCAGATGGGCAACACCGAAATCAGATTGACTATATAATTTGCAGTCAAAGATGGAGAAGCTCTATCCAGTCAGTAAAAACAAGACCTGGAGCTGTGAGGTAGGTGGGGCTGAGAGAGCTCTTGACAGAAACTGCTCTTTTTCAAGGACAGCTCTGACAGAACTAGGGCTTGCCCAAGGTCATCCAGCCAGGTGCAAGTGGAGGAGTGGGGAATCAAACCCGGTTCTCCCAGATTAGAGTCCTCGCACTTAAACACTACATCAAACATAAGAGAAGCCAATGTTGGATCAGGCCAGTGGCCCATCCAGTCCAACCCTCCATGTCACACAGTGGCCAAAAATACCAGGAGCCATCAGGAGGTCCACCAGTGGGGCCAGGACACTAGGAGCCCTCCCACTGTTCTCCCCCCCCCCCAAAGCACCAAGAATACAGAGCATCACTTGCCCCAGACCGAGAGTTCTTATTTATACCTTGTGGCTAATAGCCACTGATGGACCTCTGCTCCATATGCTTATCCAATTCCCTCCATGCTTATAGTCGCTACCACCTCCTGTGGCAGTGAATTCCATGTGTTCATCACTCTTTGGGTGAAGGACTTCTTTTTATCTGTTCTAACCCGACTGCTCAGCAATTTCATGGAGTGCCCACGAGTTCTTGGGCACTTTCCTATTCCCTGCACACAGGATTCCCTGCATGTACACATGAAGCTGCCTTATACTAAATCAGCCCCTTGGTCCATCAAGGCCAGTACTGTCTACACAGTTCCATTCATTTATTTAAGGATTCAAGATCAGAATTAAAATATACCATATACCCGTTGGGTTACATCCAGACACGCGCAGTTAAAACCAGCAAACATTAAATAAACAGACACTTTAAGAGTCGTAAAATATTTTAGGACCGAGTTAAGGTAAGTTAAAAAAAAAATTCTCTGCCTTATTAAAACAGCCCAAGCACAAAATCTTGCCGCCTTGGCAGGAATTTATTTACAGCAATCTGCAGAATAAAACTGGTTTGTTCTACCAAAAAATTCTCTGCCTTATTAAAACAGCCCCAGCACAAAATCTTGCCGCCTTGGCAAGAATTTATTTACAGCAATCTGCTAGGAGAAAAGCAGAATAAAACTGGTTTGTTCTACCCAGATATGGTGCTATAATTGGGGGACTGTCTATTCAGACTGGCAGTGGCTCTCCGGGGTCTCAGGCAGAGAAAGGTCTTTCACATCACCTGCTGCTTGGTCCTTTTGACTGGAGGTACCGTAGATTAAACCTGGGAATGTCTGCATTCCAAGCAGGTGCTCTACCACTGAGCTATGGCGCCTCCTTAGCATTCCCTCTAAGCTGAGTTAGTGTGAGCTAGCTCACAGTTTCCTAGACTCCAGCTCACAGATTTTTACCTTCGCTCTGGAAGGATGGCTCCAGAGCAAACTAATTTATGCAGCAGCCAAATCGCTCACTCACCACTTTAATGCCAGGAGCTCACAGAGCAGAATTTTTGCTCACAAGACTCCACAGTTTAGAGGGAGCACTGCCTCAAATAGAAAAAATGAACATCAGCCACCACCTCTAGTTTTAAGCAGCACAACACAGGACTAGGCTTTCCGCCTCAAGAAGAGCCAGGACCAAAGACTTTAAACAAGCAGGTGCTCTACCACTGAGCTATGGCGCCTCCTTAGCATTCCCTCTAAGCTGAGTTAGTGTGAGCTAGCTCACAGTTTCCTAGATTCCTGCTCACAGATTTTTAGGATGTAAGGGATGGTTTATTTAGCTTTGATAATTACTGAAAGTTAAAAGGTATTAGTAGTAGATTAAGATATGTAACCAAAATAGGGAAGGTTATGTTACCTATAGACAATGTGTAATGGAATATAATAGGGGGTGAAGAAGATCTAAGAAGTGTGCAGGAAGTTGGAGCACTGTGGGAAGCCGAAAAGAGGGGGGGGGAGGATATATGGGTATAAAAATGTGTGATTTATATTTGATTGTGTTTGGTATATCCTAATAAAATGTGTTTTAAAAAAAAGAAAAGAAGAAGAGTCAGGACCAATTGGCTCCCCACCAATGCATGTTGCTGACCACAGCCAGACATCATTTCACAGACTAAAGCTTCCTTCGACACAAAGCACTACATCAGGCAGCTACTGCCTCAAATAGAAAAAATGAACATCAGATAGAAGGGCCCTACCTAGCTCCCTCTCCCACATGCAGCTTTCTAGCAATGTGACACTTTTGCAGACACGTTTGAAGCAGCACAACACAGGACTGGGTTTTCCACCTCAAGAAGAGCCAGGACCAATTGGCTCCCCCCCAACGCATGTTGCTGACCACAGCCAAACATCATTTCACAGACTAAAGCTTCCTTTGACACAAAGCACTACATCAGGCAGCCGCAGAACGCAAACAGCGGTCCAAATGCCCCACTGACCATTGCAGACCCCTTCCAAGACACCTTTTAGAAATCAGTATCAGACCAGCTGTAGACCAGTGATTCGTAAAGGGGGCCTGTCGTGATCTGGGCTGTGCAATTAAAGGCCTAGCAGGCCCAGGGACTCTGTGTAGCAGTGGGAGGAGGCCAGGCCTACAACTCCCAGAAGTCCCTGGGAGGTTTTGACGCCAATTTTAGCCAATCACAGAGAAAGGGGACTTATAATAAAAGACCTGGTACAGAAGAAGAGCTGTTCTTTCTTCCAAGAGAGCAGGGCCGGAGGGAAGTAGGAACTCCTTTACATATTAGGCCACACCCCCTAATGTAGCCAATCCTCCAAGAGCTTACAGAGCTCTTCTTACAGGAGCTACTGTAAGCTCTTGGAGGATTGGCTACATTAGGGGTGTGTCGCTTAATATGCAAATGAGTACCTGCTACAAAAAGAGCCCGGAAGGCTACTGCATGGAAGAGACCCTCACCCTGAGAGGAAAGGGGAACAGTCTGAGGCCCACCTGAGACAGTGAGCTAAGGACAGTAAATTTAGACACGTTGGGGCATTTGGTTTCTTTTCCCTTCACCCACTTATCGTTAGGGTTCTTGCACCTTGTTTGTTTCCCATACTGGGCTGACCTCCTGTAAAAATAAACCCTTTTCTTTGTTGTTTACTCTGCCTGGTCCTTACACATATTATTTGGCCAAAGAAGGGAGGTCTGAAGGCCTTGGGAGGGTGCTCTGGGCCTTCTCAAGGGATCTCAAAACCAGAGTGGTGGCAGCGTCAGGTGACACCCCACCTGAGCCATGACAGGGTCTTATCCCTGCCCCCACACACGCACCCCCCAGAAGCAATCTACAAATCTTAAGGGGACGTATATGCATACATACATACGTATTACCCAGGAGCATTAATACATATTTATTTATTTACATTATCTATGGCAGGGGTGTCAAACATAAGGCCCGGGGACCGGAGCTAGCCCACGGAGCCCGCAAGCAATGTTCCCTCTAAGCTGTGAAGTCTTGTGAGCAAAAATTCTACTTTGTGAGCGACTGGCATTAAAGTTGTGAGCAAGCAATTTGGCTACTGCATAAATTAGTTTGCTCTGGAGCCACCCTTCCTGAGCTGAGACAAAGATGTGTGAGCTGGAGGCTAAGAAACTGTGAGCTAGCTCACTCTAACTCAGCTTAGAGGGAACACAGCCCGCAAGCAACTAGTGCAAGGGAGGGAAAAGAAGACTGCTTGGGGGGGACTGCAGCACGGCGGAACAACCTTGTCTGCAGTGGTCAAGCATTGTGGGAGTCCGCCCATATGCATTTTCCTTTGCACCCTCCTCCCAGCCCACGAGGCCGCGCAGCGAGGATACAGCAACTCTGACCTTAACCAGCTGCTGTCCTTTATATAGTTTATACCTCCGGTACCTGGCGTAACATTTATGTCAGATCTGGCCCTCGTAACAAATGAGTTCGACACCTCTGATCTATGGTCTACCTTTCTCACTTGGACTCAAGGCTCATTACACAGACTGAGTCAATACAATTGACGGATGGGGCATTCAATAGACAATGACATAGGAATTAGGGTGGTAGACCCAATCAGAAGTCCAAAAACAGAACTGGAGCAAAGCATAAGTATTAACGTGATGCATTACCAGTGAAATCCTAAGAAAAGTCACTCCAGTCTAAGTCCACTGATTTCAGCGGGCTTAGACTGGAGTAACTCTGTTTAGGATTGCACTGTAAATGATGCAGAATTACACAGTGGGACCCTCGTTACAAGAAGCTACACATAGCGGTACAGACCACGGCCCCTAATAATTGTTCTAAATAACTTTGGGAATCATCTAGTACAGTGCAAATCTGTTGCCTGCACAGAAAAGCTCTCTTGAATAATTCAGTACATATACCATATATAAAGAAATGCCTTGTCTTGAGTGTAGCTTTTACACCCTAATTTTTTGCTTGGGGGGCAGTCCACGACAACGTTGCATATTCGGTGGGGTGTGGCCGCGGATCAATTATTATGTCTTTTTTCAAAGGACACTGGAACAGTCTCCCTCAAGAGGTGGAGGATTCTTCCCCTTTGGAGGTTTTTGAGTATTGAATGGATACCTACTTGTTGGGGATATTATAGCTGTAGTTCCTGTACCAGGAAGGGGTTGGACTAGATGACCCCGGTGGTCCCTTCGAGCCCTGAGATTAAATTTTTAAAAAAATTATGGCAACTTACCATTTTGCAGAGTCTGCGCCCGCGATTCCTTTCCCAAGTTGACGTGAAATCCTCCAACGGTTTGTGATTTCCCTGCCGCTGGAAGGAAGAAAGGAGGAGAGGAAAAAACAACTTGTCAAATGCAAGGTTATTAATGGAAGCACTGCAATAAATCTTGCCGTCGCCTGACAGAAACGGCAGTGGCCCCAGACGCGGAGGCTCCTCCAGTGCTGATTAAGGACCCATTTACACCCACCTCAGACCTCAAAGCTTTATCCTTTTCCAGTTCCACTCGCAGCGCTATCGCACCTAAGGAGAGCGATGAAGGCCTCTAGCCCCTGGATTAACAGGTGTGCCAAATCCAAAAGGCCACTTTCGTAACTGTCATCACAGAGGCAGGACTCCATTTTCTAAAGCATGCTATTTGCTTAGTATTTAAGGAGTTAACCTAAGTCAGGGGTTGCCCCGAGAATGAAGAATAGAGGAAAACGATACTCTGTCTCCCACCACTGAATTGAAGGTCCCTGGGAGACAGAACCCAGTTCCTTCCTCCAAGGAAGAACCCCTCAGCCATAAGCCAGAGAGAAGCTCAGAGATCTGGCTGGCTGCCCACCCAGCCAGTGGCCCCAAGATAACAGCAGCAGCAGAAGAAGAAACAGAAGAGGAGGAGGAGGTTGGATGTATACACTACCCTTCACCACCCGAAGGAGTCTCAGAGCAGCTCACAATCTCCTTTCCCTTCCCCTCCCCAAAACAGGTACCCTGTGAGGTAGGTGGGGCTGAGAGAGCTCTGAGAGAACAGCTCCTGAGAGAACAGCTCTGAACAAACTTGTGACTGATGCAAGGTCACCCAGCAGCTGCACGTGGAGAAGTGGGGAATCAAACCTGGTTCTCCTAGATTAGAGTCCGTGCTCCAGCTACCAGCCAGAGGACAACAGGATAACTGCACCGCTTCCATCCAAGCAAGCGAAAGCAGATCTGCCAGGTCCCAACTGGGACACGGCTTTGTGTCCATCTGGTTGATCCTAGCACTGGGGTAGTCGAGTGTCGGACTAGGATCTGGGAGACCCGGGTTCAAACCCCCACTCTGCCATGGAAGCTTGCTGGGTGACCTTGGGCCAGTTACACACTTTCAGCCCAGCCTACCTCTCAGGGTTGCCGTGAGAATAAAACGGAGAAGAACAATATAAGCTGCTTTGTGTCCCCACCGGGGGGAGAGGGGGTGTATAAACGAATAAATAAAAAAATGGGCCATTATGGCTGTACATCTTTTTCCCAACTGGACGTCAGTTCAAAGTGATCTCCCTCCGCTACTTTCCCCCCCGCACCACTCTCTTCCCCTCCCCTCGTGCATCTTGCCTTTTTAGATTGCAGGCCTGACTCGCTCTATTGATTTAAGCCACTTTGGAAGGCGACGGTCTGAAAAGCGGGATATAAAACAGGCCAGTTTGGTGTGGCGGTTAAGAGTGGTGGACTCTCATCTGGGAGAACCGGGTATGATTCCCCACTCCTCCACACGCAGCCAGCTGGGTGACCATGGGTCGGTCACAAGTTCTTTCAGAGCTGTTCTCTCAAGAGCAGTTCTCAGGAGAGCTCTCTCAGCGCCCCCCCCACCTCACAGGGTGTCTGCTGTGGGGAGGGGAAGGGAAAGGAGGTTGTAAGGCGCTCTGAGACTCCTTCAGGTAGTGAAGGGTGGGGTAGAAATCCAATCTCTTCTCTTCTTCTCCCCGTCCCAATATTTCCTTGCTCCTGCTTGTTGTCATCCGTTTCCATTTGTCCCCCCACGTACAAACACACAGACTCTGCCGCTCTTTGCTCACTATGACAAGAACCCAGGATTAGCAAAGCCCCACCCGTAGTGGGGTCCCAAAAATCACATGCAGAGGAAGTATAACCTAGATTCAGGTGGGAAGCCATGTTGCTCTGAAGCAGCAGAACGAAGTCTGAGTCCAGCGGCACCTTTAAGATCAACACGGTTTAATTCTGGGCATAAGCTGTCGGCTGTGTGCACATTTCTGCAGATACAGACGTAGAAGCGTTTGCTGCAGTTTGGTGTAGTGGTTAAGTGGGTGGACTAATCTGGGAGATCCGGGTTTGATTCCCCACTCCTCCACTTGCACCTCGCTGGATGACCTTGGGCAAGCCATAGTTCTGATAAGAGCTATTCTTGAAAAAAGAGCAGTTTCTGTCAAGAGCTCTCTCAGCCCCACCTACCTCACAGGGTGTCTGTTGTGGGGAAGGGAAGGGAAAGGAGTTTGTAAACCCGAGACACCTTTGGGTAGTGAAGGGCAGGGTATAAATCCAGTATCTTCTTCTTCTTCTAAGGCCCCTCAGTCCTTTCTAATCGGAAAACAAGGCCGACACCTGCTCCACGCAGTAGTCAAAGGCTGCCATCACACACACTAAATAATCTACTTTTAATCCACTTTCTTTTTTAAATTTTGTAAATTTTCATTAAAAACAAACAAAACACACATATATTACACATACTATTGGGGATTCCTATTTCTTTTTTACCTAAGAAATTACTTCATAGAATATCCGAGTATCGTCCTTGTTAATTTTACCTTTAAAAAAATGACCTCATAAGATATCGAAGTACGTTCTTTGTCAATTTTTCTGCTTAAAAATTAACATAAATATCATTTACAGTGCATTTAAGTACATATTTCTTATTTTCTGCCCTTCCATTGAATGTCTGGAGTTTTTAAGTGGGTTGATCTTCTTATCCATTTATAAAATCTTGACCATGTGCCTTCAAACTCTTCTTTGTTGTGCCCTCTCAGTATTAAAGTTAATCTGTGCATCTCTACGATTTCCAGTATTTTGTTTATGATTTCTTCCTTTGACTTTTTCTGCTTAAAAATTAACATAAATATCATTTACAGTGCATTTAAGTACACATTTCTTATTTTCTGCCCTTCCATTGAATGTCTGGAGTTTTTAAGTGGGTTGATCTTCTTATCCATTTATAAAGTCTTGACCATGTGCCTTCAAACTCTTCTTTGTTGTGACCTCTCAGTATTAAAGTTAATCTGTCCATCTCTACTATTTCCAGCACTTTGCTTATGATTTCTTCCTTTGATGGCCCCACCCCATTTAAAACAGTGGGATGCCTACTGCTTAACAGCCTCTCCCCCAGGATTTATCTCATGGCCTCTTTATGATGACATTTGCACAGCACCAGCCTTCTGCAGAGATCAAGGCAGCATATACCGGGGAGACATGGCACTCTTCCTCACAACAACCTTGTGAGGTAGGCCACGCAGGCAGGGATCAGAACCGAGGTCACTCCAGTCAAAGCCCAACATGTTAGTCGGGATACTAAGAGCCAAACTGGTCTAAGGAACCACGAGAAGCCCTTATCTTCTCCGAAAACTAAACGGTGCCAGCGAGAGGTACTTGCAAGAAGGGGAAATGAGAACACGGCACAGACGGCTTCCACAGCAGAACACCATTTAACAAGAACACAGGCTCTGGCCTAATGGCAAAGCAGAAGCAACTGGGGCCAGCAATGAGGGTGCAATCCCATTGGCCGGAGGGAACCCCTGGTTTGTCCAGAGACTTTCAGTCGGGTGCTGGGTTGAAATGCCGGGTTGAACCACTAAAGATAAAGCAGCTTAAAGCCTAACTGATGCAAACCCAGAAACAAAGAAAGAAAAGGGGGAGAGTGAAACCACTGCTCAGGGGGACCCAGCACAGATAAGAGAATCCCAGGATCTCTGCTTTGAAGATAAGGGACCCGCTCCGGGGGTTTAAACCCTTTCATCCCATGCCTATTTGACAATTTAAACCACCCCTCTGCAGGAAGAAGGCCGGTTTTGCACTCTGGCCTGTTCCTCAGCTTCAAAGGGGCTATTTCCATTCTGAAAGCATGGGAAGAAAGGGTTAAGGGTGCTTTCACACATGCTAAATAAGGCACTTTCCGTCCACTAGAGAGACTGTTTGCGAGAGGATTTTTTGCTCTTGCGCACAGTAAAAACCAGTTGCAAAGAGGAGGCGCTTGGATTTATACCCTACCACTCTCGACCGAAGGACTCACACAGCAGCTTACAATCCCTTTCCCTTCCCCTCCACACAACAGGCACCCTGTGAGCAATGCTCCCTCTAAGCTCTACTTTGTGAGCTACTGGCATTAAAGATGTGAGCGAGCGATTTGGCTACTGCATAAAATAGGTTGGTCTGGAGCCGTCCTTCCAGTTCCAAGACAAAAATGTGCGAGCCGAAGGCTAGAAAACTGTGAGCTAGCTCACACTAATTTAGCTTAGAGGAAACACTGCCTGTGAGGTACGTGGGGCTGAGAGAGCTCTGAGAGAACTGTTCTTGGAGGACAGCTCTGAATAAACTTGTGACTGACCCAAGGTCATGCCAGCAGCTGCATGTGAAGAAGTGGGGGATCGAACCCAGTTCGCCCATATCAGAGTCGGTGCTCCTGACCACTACACCAAACTGGCTTTCAGAGGACTGGAAGTACATTATTCAGCTCTGCCTGTTTGGCTCTCTCATTTCCCCACCACACCAAGTCCTCCCACTCATTCCCAGCCTGCCTGCTGGTTATGGTGGTGATGGTGTTGTTTTAATTAGTGATTCTGTTCACCAGAACTCCTGCATCAAGTGTTCTTTGTTCCTGAGAGGCTGATTCAGACAACCAAAGTAATCCACACGCTGCTTGGATTCATAAGTTTCATGACTAAGCATTTGATACTGGAACTGAACCAACGCAAAGTTCTGTTTTTGTTAAAGGTAACGGTAAAGGTTTCCCTTGCTCGGAAGCCAGTCGAGTCTGACTCTAGGGGGCGGTGCTCATCTCCATTTCCAAGCCGAAGAGCCAGCGCTGTCCGAAGACCTCTCCGTGGTCATGTGGCCGGTATGACTAAATGCTGAGGCGCACAGAACGCTGTTCCCTTCCCACCGAAGCGGTACCTATTTATCTCCTTGCAATTTCTTGATTTCAAACTGCCAGGCTGGCAGGAGCTGGGGCCAGAGACGGGAGCTCACTCCATCACGCGGCACACTCGGGTCTCGAACTGCCAAACTACAGACCAACCGGTCTGCAGCTCAGCATCTTAACTTCTGAGCCACTGTGGCCCCTTGCTACA